TGGTTACCCTTTGTCCTAGTTATGACATCATTTGATAGCTCTGTGGCATATACTTTTAGTTGGTCAAGTCTACCCCTTTTCTAACAAGATGCAATAAAAACAAGTGCTTGATTCTTGGATTTAAGTGCATAAATCTAAAACTGTGAACTAAATTGTCTATCAGCTAACACTTTGATTATTTTATTTCCATTAGCAAGTCTCTTTCAAAAAATACTACATTATCAGAAACCTATTGCTGCTTTTTATTTTTTAAAAGCATCTTCTCTTAAACTTATTGTAAAAGAAGGGAAGAATTAGTTAGTGAATACCACCAAATTCAAGACAGAGAAAGATCTGTGTGGAGAAAAATGTAGAGAGAAATTCCTTGGGTCTCATGTGTGAGTGAGGAATATGAAATCTGACCTGACTGACCTGTTTTCTTTTGTTTACTCAAGATAGTAAATTAGTTGCTTTAAATGAAGAAATTATATAAGGTTTTTTGTAGTCGATGATTTATTTTTACCTTATATTAATTATATTACGTGATTATAATTAATTGTATTAAGTAATATAATTCTGGAGTTTTGTGTCCAACTTTAAAATCAGTAGGCTCTGTTGTTCCATACTCCTGTAAAATATGTTTAATAATATACTTTCTTTTTTTAAACTTTTCATTATTAATTTTATTGAAAATTTACAGAGATTTTGGATTTCCATTCAGCTATTGTTACAATTTTCTCCCTGCACACCCCTCCCCCCATGTATACTCTTCTCCTGGAAAAGAAAAATACTTTCATTGTTTTACGATCCCTCCCCGCAGGTCCACTCCACTATGCAGCCCTCTTCTGGACTCCTGTCATGACAATAATACCTAATCACATATCCCTTTTAAACAGTTTTCTCCCTCATCTGTTTCAATACAGTATACATTATTTATCCTATCTTTCTCAGTCTCCCCTCAACCCTGATGTCAATCCTGTTTTACAACAGTGGCACTAAGCAGTATTTGTCCCTGAGATATTTCACTGAGCATAATGTCCTCTAAGACATTTTGAATAATAGTGCGTGAGTTCCTTGTTTTTCAATATATGAATATACTTTCACATGTGTGCTGTAATGTTAGAACTGATACCTTTCCATTCAGCAGGTTTTCAGAGGCTGTAAATCACACGTGAGGAGATTGACCATCCTACTTCTGCCAGCAGCCGGTGGACTTGAGCCATATGCGTTTGGGATTGCAGCACAGCTTCTTGCCTTTAGGCCACCAGGGCTCCCTGGAACAATCTCTAAATGCCCAAAATGTAGAGCTGAGAACAACAACTGCAGCCATTATGTTTTCCCTCATCTTACCTGCCAATGTAGTTGACTCAGGCAGTTGTTGTAGTTTTACCTAGGACCCCATCAGCTGACTGTGGTTAGCTGGTGTCTGGGGTTGGAGTCACCTGGAGCAAGCCGACTCTTGGGAGTGCCACACCTGCCTCTTGGTATGGAGTCAGGGCTTTTCTTTTTCACTTAGCCTGTTTGCATGTCTGCCCAGGCAGACTTGATCTTTTGCCAGTTTGGGTTCAGATAATTTGATGAAATGGCTCACAGATTCTGGCAGAGTATACCATACTCATTGATCCTGGTTGTATAGTGGTCCAATGCTTGAATGTAGCAGTATTGGTTTTTTAAACATTATAATCCCAGAAAAACTTTAAGGCAGTTCTAATCTGTTTTATAATGTTGCTATGAGATAGCATTTATTCAACAACAGTAGATTTTTAAATAATGTGGGGTCAAGATTGGTGGACGATTTATCAACAATCTGCGTTATGCGGATGACACAACCCAGCTTGCTGAAACTGAGGAGGACCTGAAGCGCCTGCTGCAGAGTGTCAAGGACTGCAGCCTACAATATGGATTGAGGCTCAATGTCAAGAAGACAAAGATTCTCACCACTGGACCAATTGGCAGCATCAGGATGGATGGTGAAGAGATTGAGATTGTACACAGCTTTAGTTTGCTTGGCTCCATAGTCAACAGTCTTGGCACCAGCAGCCAGGAAATTAAAAGGCACCTTGCCATGGGAAAGTCTGTTGTTAGGGACCTCTCCAAAGTGCTGAAGAGCAGTGGTGTCTCTCTGGAGACTAAGGTGCGTCTGATACAGGCCATGGTCTTTGCAATCACCTGTTATGCATCAGAGAGTTGGACAATGACCAAGGAGGATAGAAGGAGAATTGATGCCTTTGAGCTGTGGTGCTGGAGAAGAGTACTGAGAATACCATGGACTGCTAGGAAAACAAACAGATTTGTCCTGGAAAGGGTTAAACCGGGTGGCTCCTTGGAGGCAAGGATTCTGAGGCTCCGTCTAACATACTTTGGACATGTTGTGAGGAGAGACCAGTCCTTAGAGAGGGACATCATGCTTGGGAGGGTGGAGGGACGGCGCGGGAGAGGAAGGCCCTCTATGAGGTGGATTGATTCAGTGACTGGGATAATTGGGATGGGAGTGTCAGAGACAGTGCGATTGGCACAGGACAGAGCGGAGTTTAGGGCTGTTGTACATAGGGTCGCTATGAGTCGCAGGCGACTCGACGGCACATAACAACAACAACAACATATCAAACTTAGATCTACAAATTTATAATAGCCCGAAAGCATACAAGTGAAGAGATTCATCGGGTGAGGTCCAGCAGTGTTCCCGGGGTCAGGCTCCATGTCCCAAAGGAGGCACTGTTCTCCAACACCAGATGTTCTCACCAAACACGAAGCTCTCTAAGATGGAGCGTTTAGGGCTTTTTTTTTCATTTAGACTTTTATTATATGCTAAATCATGCCTTCAGAGGCTATTTAATTTTGGCCTCACAACTGGGTTGCTTTCTGTTCTAGCCAGCCCCTTCTTGCCATCGCAAATTTTTAATTGTCAGCTGAACATTTCGGATCACAGCATCACAGTTACACCAGTGATCATTTCTCAAGAGCTAAAATCCTCTCTACTTACAGTAAAATGAAGCCTCTTCCCCAAAGTAACATACTTTAGGCTATTTTATGTTGAACACTAAGCATATTTGATGCACGCATTAGGGAGCTCTGGTGTTGCATGTAAGGATTTATGCTATTAACCCAAAGGCCATTCTTCTCTAGTAGTTCGAAGCCGCCAGCAGCTCCATAGGAAAAGAATGTACTTTCTCCTCCTGTGTGGTTTCTTGTTATTGTTGTTGTCAGATGCCTTTGGGTTGAGTACAACTCATAGTGACCCCATGAAAAGCAGGTCTGAACCCTACCCTATCCTTTGCCACCCTCATCAGTTCTGATTGCTTGAGCCCATTGTTGCAGTCACTGTCTTAGTCCATTTCATTGAAGGTCTTCCAGCAAGTTCTTCTCCAAGGGCTATTCCTTTCTAACAACATACCCAATCTATGGGAGGCAAAGTTTTACCATCCTTGTCTCCAAAGAGCATCCCAGTTGCACTTTCTCTTTGATGTATTTGTTTTTTTGGCAGTCCCTGGGATATTCAGGACTTTTCTCCAAATCCACGACTCAAAGGCATCCACTGGAAGGTCAGGTAGTGAGATAGTTCTGACTCAGTGGCGTAACTTTGAGTTTACACTTCAGTTCTACTGGCAGTCATTGCCCTAGCAATCTGTGCATGAAATGAAGTCAGACTGCAGGAGATAAGGACTGTACAAATTGGCTGACATCTTAAACACTTCAACTCTTCAAATTTTGGTCAAATCCAGGCCAAAGAGGAAGAGTCATGAGCCGCAGATAGAATGATACATGTGCTGTGGTGTCAAGGAATGGAGAGGCAAGTGCTAGAAGCCAGACAGATTTCGGAAGTGAGAAAGAGACTCACCCTAGCTCACTTCCTGTATGGCAGCTTTGACTGCCCACCAGGAGTCACCATAGGAATGAACTTCCTGTCTAAGTTCTTGTGCTTGGAGGACTAAATAGTTTAGCTGCAGCCATGGGACGCAGCTCGCCAAGAGCACTTTCAAGCCTCATTTCTAGCTACATTTGTGATTCAACTTGTGCAATAGCAGTAATTGTGATGTCACAAATACTAATTCTTTCAAGGAGACAAAGAGAAGATTCATGCGCAGAAAGAGATGGAAATGTCACCATCTTGTTGGTGAATGACAAAACGGGTCTGAATAACAAAGACAAGTTGCTGCATAAAAGAGGGAAGAAAAATCCAGAAATTGCAGCACTGTCTGTTGAGGCCAGTGTCCAAATCAGTTACAATTAAAAAAACCAAACCAAACACTCCACCCCAAACCCTATTCTAGTGTATGGTGATGGCCGTTCCTTTCAGAAATAATTCACCCTCAGTAAAGGCAGGGGAGAATCTAGGTTGGAATTGTCCCAAATAATTTTGGAATTTCACCTTCCTGCCTCTGACTGGTCAAACACATTCATAGGGGATGCATTTCTATAGTAAAGGCCAATGTAGTTTATACTCCACTGTCTTTTATCTACTACCTGCCTGAATGAATGAGTGAGTGGCCCCTTACACAGACAAAAATTTGGGTCAGGCAGTGGATGTCTCTTTATGGAAGAAACAGCTGGTTTCTCAGGCTGCTATGGAAAATGGCTTCCTATGGGCAAGACTTGTTGTCCTTGGGTTCCTCTTGTCACTTCTGAGAACTCAGGGCCTTCAGGTGGCATGGGGGTGGGGGTGGGGGTTTAGTTCTAGAGGAGAAGAAGCCTCTCTGTTTACTTGGTGTTGGAAGAGGTGATGCTGTACCTAGTGGATGTCAGCCACTGAGGTGACAGAGGACACTGGAGAACATTAAGATTGACCCCTAACCTGTGAACTTTTCCCTCTCACTTCCTGTGGCACATTCCTCTACAAGTGAAATGTAGAACTGTTCTTCCTTTCTCTACCCTCCCCTTCCCTCTCCCCAGAAAAGGCAAGATATAATTAAAAAAATTAAAGAAAGAAAATATATAGAAGCTGTTTTCATAAGCAAGTGTCCACGTGGCACAGCCATATTCAGTTGGCCTTGACTTCCATCATGTTTGTTGTAGAACGCGTCAGTGGGAGCATCCATCAACTGCAGTGTGCCCTGAAAGAACAGGATGCCACAGCCAGAGAAGATGAACTGGATGCTTCTTTTAGCCCCAGTGCAGGAAACGAGGACCCGGGGACTGCCTGGCAAGAACTACAACAAAGCCATGCCGGTGAGCGTTGTGAATGCTAGTCCTATCCAGAGCAAATATTTAGCCTTCTCCATTCTACCACTAGCATTTTCTTTCTGGAGCAGAAATCAACTCATTTCATCACTTGGCTGTTTCTCCCCCCACCCCACCCCCACCCCACTTTGTCATTCCAGTTTCTGTAGTTCAAGATTCAAACTCCCTAGAATAATGTGGCAGTATGTAAGATGATGCCACCTTGCTTCTCCAGCTTCATTTTTCTCTGATAACCATCCATCCCATGTACCTATTCTCTGGTCAGACCAACATCTTGGCCAGGATTCTTAATGCTTTTACATGTTCTATGACTCATAATTAAAAGGACTCTCATCTTTTCTCATTGGTGACTTCCTATTCATTCTCCATGATGGAAACCAGAACAACTGGTTGGTTCCTTTTCATGTTACGTTGTGTGTAGTTCTAGGTCTACAAGTGATTTATGACATTGGTTTGTCCTGATAACAATGTCCTTCTTGCTCTCCAGAGTTATAGCTCTTAAGAAGCAGAGCACTTCCCATATTTGTCTTTGTATCCCCAGTGAATAGCAGAGTAGTGCTGCATAAACTATGTTTAAGTGATATTTCCTGGGTGCCTAGAAGGTTATGTGTGTGTTGATAAAACATGAATCTCAAGAAAAATCAATAGACCTATTGTTTTTTCTCCACAGTTAACCAACTCAAAGTTTTGTTGTGCCAACAAACAGCCAAGGAAAATGAGGTTTCACCGTCAAGAAGACGGAAAATGGCCCCTTTGGTGAGTATTAGTTTTTGCAGTCTGACAGAAGCATTCATTTTCTGTGTTCTAACTTTACCATTGTCTCACTGTGCCATTTTCTCAGGACATGTGTAGACAAATTCTTTTTTTTTTTTAAATTGAGATTTTAATGAAAGTTTATAAAGAACTTGAGTTTTCAATTGTTCATTGTTGCACATTTTCCTCCCTGCCCTCTTCCACCCAGATATCTTTTTTTAAAAAAAGTTCTTTCATTGTTAATACAGTCATTCCCCAACCTACCCCCACCCCGACCACTTTACTATGCAGCTCTTATTCGGGTCTCTTGTCATACCAACAATACCTAATTATATATTCCTTTAATACAGTTCTCTCCTTTGTCTGTTTCAATGCTGTGTAGATTATTTATCCCCTTTTCTCTCAGTTTCCTCCCAACCCCCATGTCAGTCCCATTTTACAACAGTGGCACTATGCAATATTTGTCCTTTCATGACTGAGATATTTCACTCAGCATAATGTCTTCCATGGTCACACATTTTGTATAATATTTCATTAGTTCCTTATTTTTCAATGCAGCATAGTATTCCATTGTATGAATATACCACAGCTTCTCTATCCATTCATTTCTTGATGGACACTTGGGTTGTTTCCAGCTCTTTGCTATTGTGAACAAAGCTGTGATAAACTTGGGTGTACATAAAGCTACTTGGGTGACAGTTACCATTTCTTTAGGATATATTCCCAGTAGTGAAATTGCTGGGTCAAATGGTATTTCTGTTTGCAGCTTTTTGAGAAAGCACCATGCTACCTTCCATAGTGGTTGCACCATTTCACACCAACAGTGAATAAGGGTTCCAGTTTCTCCGCAACCTTGCTGTTCTGTTAAATTTTGCTATTCTTACTGGGGTGAGATGATATCTCATGGTTATTTTGTTATAGACAAATTCTATACAAAGCATGCTAATAAAACATTGAAAGAAAAAAAATTCTAATTAGTAGATGGAGAAAAATTACTTCCATTGCACAAGGAATTCTGTTTAATTCACCATGTATTTGAAAAAAGAAATGAGAACGGTTGGTGTATTTACTTTACAACTGTTATAAAATATAAAGGAGAACAACATGTGAAAAAGACAAATAATGTTGTAGTGATTTCTTTTTTAGACATCAAGTCAGCATCATTTCCCCCCTTTTAAAAGCCAAAGTTTATTTCTACTAAAAAAAATTCAAGAAGATTTTTTTAAAAAACTAATATGATTGAAAATATTTAGGGTTTAATAAAATTTGAAGTAAAATTAACTAGGTAGTTGTTAGTTATTGGTGTCTCTGTTTTGACAGCTTCAACTTAGTAGTGACCAATTCTGTGTCTTGGAGTTCTTTTTAGTTGGAGAGATGATAATAATCCGACTTCCAGCATACTTCATAAATCCCTCCAGTACTGATGGAAATGAGAATACAGAAAGCAATCATTGTCATTGCAATGGACAAAGTTGGATGATTCAGATGCAAAATTGTCAAAACCATTTCAAAAATCAGAAGTACTAATCCAATTCTTAATAACAGACAGAGCCATTTGCAGATTTTACATGAAAACTAGTTCCCTTGCTTGTCTGCAAGAGAATAAATACACTGGCTGACAACTTGAGCAAGGATCAGGCTGAGCTTTGTCTGTTAGTAAATGCAGCCTTTTAGCAAACAGCTGGATCAACCCTACGTCCTTTAAGATTAAAATAGTCTGAGCTGTTTTTGAAGTTAACCTGATTATAATTATGTAAGAGTGGTCAGTCTCTGCCTTTGTGATTGACTGCCTCTGAAAACCCACTTGAGGGTCAGCTGAGGGTCACTTCTGACTCAACAGTACACAACAACAAGTATAAGTATACCTCCTTTGTGATACTGTTAAGTGTCAAAACTGACAGATAATGTTATTCCACTTTTTAAAATGTGTGATTATACAACTGTGTTGTCAGAATGTATTGTTCTTGAAAGAAGCAATGTTGTATGCTAAAGGCAGATATAAGGATGAATAAAAGATCACTGTTTTACATAGTTGGTAAAATTAATAATCTAAGCCTTAAGCCTTGAGTATATCCAGACATATCATGCACTCTCTAGAAAAGGTTTCACCTCTCTTTCATAAGAGTTTTGTATTACGAAGATGAAGTTTGATACAAATATAAAGTATTATAACAGCAGTAAGTGCTTTGCATTTTCACTGTATGACAATAGTTGGACCCAAAGTTTATGTGTTGGACACTGTGGAGATGAGCTACTTTCCTTTAATCAAAGCTAAAATGTCATAACCTCATACTGACTCTTCACTCCAGCCATTTATGATTAATACATACCTTATGGCAATAGTACTTCCTACTCTGGGTTAAAACAGGAAAAGGCATGTGTTAGGGTTGTTTCACTTCACTAGACTTATTCATTCTGTACAGAGCAAATAATCTGAGTAGGTGGTTTATGTGAAGAAGAACAGAGCTTCACAATCAGAGAAAGAGTCATTGTTGTTGATGCCATCGGATCAACTACAACTCATAGTGACCATATGAACAACAGCCATGAATCTTCACGATCTCATTCACGCTGTAGCTCAAAGTTGGGGTCACTGGAGTCAATCATTCTTATGAAGGGTCTTCAACAAGAAGCAGTCATTAACAGCAAACAAGGGTTGGGTTTGGTTTTTTTTTATATAGTCAGATAAAATCAATAAACAACATCATTATGAATGGAGAAAGGGTTGGAATTGGTAAGAATTCTTTTATTTGGATCTACAATCAATACCTGTGGTAGCAGCAGTAAAAAACTCAACTTATAGCATTGGGAAAGTCTGCAGCAAAAGACCTCTTTAAAGTCAGTAAATATATTCCTTAAGAGGAATGCTGTTACCTTGGTGACTAAGGTGTGCCTGATCCAAGCCATAGTATTTTCAGTTTCCTCAAATGCATATGAAAGCTGGAAAAAAAAGAAGAAGGAAGATTGAATTGACATATTTGAATTGCAGTGTTGATGAAGAATATGAAATATATTGTGATGTTTTAGAAGAACAAATTATATCTGTCTTGGAAGAAGTAAGGTCAGAGGACTCATTAGACTTCTGATGAGTGGTGAGACAACTTCTTGAGAACTCTGGACATTTTATCCAGAGTATTCCAGGAGGGAACAGTCCCTGAAGAAGGATATCTTGCTTGATAAAGTAGAGAGCCAATGTGAAAAAAGGAAGACCCTCCGTGAGACTTCTGGATACAGTGACAGCATCTGGTTCAAACATGGCAATAGTTGTGACAGGCCATGGTCTTTGCAATCTCTTGTTATGCATCAGAGAGCTGGACAATGACTAGGGAGGACAGAAGGAGAATTGATGCCTATGAGCTGTGGTGCTGGAGAAGAGTATTGACTGTACCATGGACTGCCAAGAAAACAAACAGATTCATTCATCCTAGAGAGGGTTAAACCAGGCTACTCCTTGGAGACAAAGATTCTGGGGCTTCGTCTGACATACTTTGGACATTTTGCAAGGAGACAGGTCTTTGGAGAGGGACATCATGCTGGGTAGAGTAGAGGGACAGCGCAGGAGGGGAAGACCCTCTATGAGGTGGATTGATTCAGTGACTGGGGTAATTGGGATGGGTGTGTCAGAGGCAATGCGATTGACACAGGATAGACCAGGGTTTAGGGCTGTTGTACATAGGGTTGCTATGAGTCGCAAATGACTCGACGGCACATAACAACAACATTATAAATTTCACTAAAAATTTACAGAGACTTTGGATTTCCATTCATTCATTGTACTTTTCCCCCTCCTAACCCTCCCCTCTAGTACACTACCCTCTTGGAAAAGTAAAACAAAATCTTTCATTGTTTTACAAACCCTCCCCCAGGTCCACTCCACCATGTAGCCTTCTCTCTAAACTCCTGTCATGACAAAAATACCTAATCACATATCCCTTTTAAACAGTTTTCTCCCTCATCTGTTTCAATGCAGGATACATTACTGAACCCATCTTTCTGTTTTGTCCATTGTTTTATCCCATTGTTTCTAGGGTTACTATTAGTTGGAGACAGCAGGATAGCACCAATCAACAACACTCACTCTTTTTAAACTCATGTTCCATGTTTATAAATATAAATTACTATTTTAACATAACTTTGATCAGTTAATGAATATCCTACAGCTTATATCTGACTTCTTCAATGTTATTAAGCTCCTGGTGAGTAAAAAGCTTGTAAGTCTCTTCTTGTTGTGTACTGTTGAGTTGAAACCAACCCATAGGTGACCCTTCAGTGGATTTTCAGAGGCAGTAAATCACATGGGAAGAGATTGCCCATTCGTCTCCCACGGAGCAGCTGATAGATTCGAACCACAAGCCCTTTGGATTGCAGCGCACTTGCAGTATGATTGTGGTGTTTATTGAGCACTCACACATCTTATTAGCTTTTAAAAGACAGAGCAGTAATATTGTATAAGACTGACTCAGGATAGGCAGGCATACTTTCATCAAGATTATCAGTTCATTATGCCCAATAAACTTTACAAATACACAGTCTGTTTATATATATAAATGACTAGAGTTTACGGTCTATGAGTAGTAATTACATGGTATAGTAATAACAACAACTAATTTTTAGGAGGATTTTACTATTTACCATACTTTTTCTAGCCACTTTGACATTGCAAAAATATAAGGCTATATAAGAATAAAATTAAGAGAGTTTTGACAGGAAATATATATATTACTGCTCATTAAAAAAAATATGTTGTTGTGTGCTGTCAAGTTGTCTGTGACTCATAGGGACCTACGTACAACAGCCCTAAACACGGTTCTGTCCTGTGCCAATCTCATTGTTCCTGACAGACCTACCCCCATTACCCCAGTCACTGAATCAATGTATTTCATCAAGGGCCTTCCCCTCCTGCGCTGTCTCTCCACCCTCCCATGCATGACATCCCTTTCCAAGAACTGGTCCCTCCTTGCAACATGTCCAAAGTATGTCAGATGAAGCTTTAGAATCCTTGCTTCCAAGAAGCAGCCTGGTTTAACCCTCTCCAGGATGAATCTGTTTGTTCTCTTAGCAGTCCATGGTATATTCAGTACTCCAGCATCACAGCTCAAAGGCACCAATTCTCCTTTTTTCATCCTGAGTCATTGTCCTGCTCTCTGATATATAGCAAATGATTGCAAAGACCATGGCCTGTATCAGATGCACCTTAGTCTCCAGAGACACACCATTGCTCTTCAGGTTTTTAGAGAGGTCCCTAACAGCAGACTTTCCCATCGCAATACGTCTTTAAATTTCCTGGCTGCTGGTGCCAAAAGTGTTGATTGTGGAGCCAAGCAGACTAAAGCTGTGAACAATCTCAATCTCTTCACCATCCATCCTGATGCTGCCAGTTGGTTCATTGGTGAGAATCTTTGTCTTCTTGACATTGAGCCTCAACCCGTATTGAAGACTGCAGTCCCTGACCCTCAGCAGCAAGCGCTTCAGGTCCTCCTCAGTTTCAGCAAGCAAGGTTGTGTCATCTGCATACACAGATTGTTGATAGATCTTCCACCAGTCCTGATGCTGCATTTCTCCTCATAGAGCCCAGCCTCCCAGATGATCTGTTCTACATACAGGTTGAAAAGGTATGGAGACAGGACACATCCCTGGCGTATGCCCTTCCCAATTTTGAACCATGCAGTGTTTCCATGCAGTGTTCTAGCGACTGCCTCCTAGTCCAAGAATAGGTTTCGCATTAGCACAATCAAGTGTTCTGGGATTCCCATTCTTCTTAGAGTCAGCCACAGTTTGTTGTGATTACGACAGTCAAACGCCTTTGTATAATCAGTGAAACACAGACATCCCTCTGCTACTCCCTGCTTTTAGCCAAGATCCATCTAACATTAGCTACAATATCCCTAGTACTATGACCCTTTCTAAACACAGCCTGGACTTCTGACAGTTCTTTCCTGATGTGCTGTTCTAATGGTTTTTGGATAATCTTCAGCAGATCTTGCTTGCATGTGATATCAGTGATAGTTTGATAATTTCCACACTCTGTTGGGTCACTTTTCTTTGGAATGGGAGCAAATAATAGATCTCTTCCAGTCATTTTGCCAAGTGGTTATCCTCCAGATTTTTTGGCACAGCTTGGAGAGCATATCTAGGGCAGAATCTGTTAGTTGAAATATGTCAGTTGGTATACCGTCTACTCCTGGGGCCTTATTTTTTGCCAATTCCTTCAAAGCAGCTTGAACTTCTTCCTTCATCACCATAGGCTCTTGTTCATATACTGTTTCATGAAATTCATCTGGGTCTGCCAATTCCTTTCAGTACAGTGACTCTATATACTCTTTCCATCATCTTTTACTACTTCCTGGATCATTTAATTGTCTGCCTAAAGCATCTTTTACCAAAGCAAAGGTGGGTGACTCTAATCCGTGGCCCTAAAGCCCGTTTTTATTGTTTTTGTTCAAACATTCTTCTAGGTCGTATAGCCCTGGCATGTCCACAGAGGTAACTTGTGGTCGCGGTGAAACTGAACACTATAACACTGATGTGTCAAATGCGATAGCGGTTATCCACGGTGGACAAAGTTTGGTGGTGCTCCCTGGTTAAAACAAACTTGGAAATAGGAGTCACATTCACTTCAATAAATAGCTTGCCTCCAGAAACCCTATGAACCTGGAGAAAGGATGAAAGTCATGCACGCAAGTGTCAAGGACTTTCGTTCATAGGGTCGCTATGAGTCGCCTATGACTCGACAGCACTTAACAACAACAACAAAACATCCTTGATTATAGCAACTCGTGGTTTGAATTTGTTCTTCAGTTCCCTGAGCTTAATAAATGTTGAGCATGTTTGGCCTTTTTGATTTTCTGATGCCAGCTCCTTGCACATTTCATTGTAATACTTTTGTCTTCACACGCTGCCTTTTGAAATCTTCTGTTTAGCTCTTTAATGTCTTGAATTCTTCCCTCTGCTTTGGAAACTAATGGTTACTTTCACAATTGGAGGAAGTATCTTTCATCTGCTTTTTCTGTAAAATGCTTGTCTGTCAGATGCTTCTCTAAATCTGAACATTCAGATTAAGACAGACTAGGAAGGATTGGCCATCCACTTCCAAAATAGCAACAACAGAACACACGTAAACTAACTTGGCAACTGAGGTGGAGCTTTCAAGTATGGAAATACAAAGGAAGAGGAACAGTTGTAAGCAGACACTAGTGATTGGAACATGGAATGTAAGAACCATGAATGTAGGAAAATTAGATATTGTTAAGGAAGAAGTGGAATGCTTAAATACTGACATGCTAGGTATTGCGGAGGTGAGATGGACAGGCATGGAACATTTTGAGTCAGACAATCATATGATCTATTACTCTCGAGATGAAAAGGTGAGGAAAATGGGGCTGCTTTCATAGTTAAAAAAGTCATTTCTATATCCATCTTGAAATACAATATTGTGAGTGATAGGATAATATTCATATGCATACAAGGAAGTCCAGTGAATACCACTATCATTCAGATATATGCACCAACAGCCAAAGGAGAGGAAATAGAAGACTTCTTCTAGCTCTTACAGTCAGAGATCAATCAAACATGTAATCAAGATGCATTAATAATAGTGGGTGACTGGAATGCAAATGTTGGGAACAGAGAAGAAGGATCAGTAGTTGGAAAACATGGACTTGGTGACAGAAATAAAGTTGGAGATAGAATGATTGAATTTTGCACAATCAACGACTTAATAATGGCAAATACGTTTTTTTATGCAGGTTATATACTTCACCTGATGGTATGCATCAGAATCAGATTGATTACATCTGTGCAAAGAATCACTGAAGCAGCTTAATATAAGCTGTGAAAACTAGGTCAGGTGCTGATTATTGAATAGCCCACCATTCAAGTTCAAGCTGAAGCTAAGGAAAATGAAATCAAATCCACAGGAAACCAAAATATGACCTTGAGTCTATCCTCCCTCAATTTCAGAACCATCTCAGGAACAGGTTTGAGGCCTTGAACACCAATGAGCAAAGACCAGATGAGTTGTGGGAGGATATCAAGAGTATCATCCAGGAAGAGTGCAAAAGGTCATTACGAAGACTGAGGAGGAAGAAAAGGCCAAAATGGAAAAGAGTCAGAAAAGACTCTGAATACAGTACTAGAGTACTGTGAAGCCAAAGCAGAGGGGGGAAAAATATACAGATATCTAAAATATAATACACCCTTTAAGGTCAATACAAGTAACTTTATTGCACATTTCCTCCAGGATATTTATTTTTTACCATTAATTTTTCTCCGTGTAAACATAGTAATAATTCATATTTATATAACTTGTGGAATTCACTTTATTACTAGAAGATGATTAGACATTATTGCTTTCTACCTACCACAGGTGATTCACTTTTTTATTAATAAATTTTATTAATTTTAATGAACATTTACAGAGATTTTGGGTTTTCATTCATTCATTGTTGTGCTATTTTCTCTACTCTCCTCCCCAGTTTGTTCTTCTCCCCTCCCCCCGAATGTCTGTTTTAATTGTCCAATTGCCACAGTGCTTGTCAAAGCCAGTTCTGATTAATCTCCTTTGTCAATGTGTCCTTTGCCATTCCCTATCACTCCTCCCTGAGAGAGACTTCACCACAGGTGATTCACTTAATTAAAGTTTTTTCCTTTCATGGCATTTTCTTTTTTACTTTTTAAAAAATTTTACATTTGTTTGCATACAAAGTGCATACATTGTGTTTCATATTATCTTTCATTCAGGTTGTGTTTCATGCAATCACTCTAATTATGCTTTATAAAATGATTCACTGTTAACTGTGCTCACCATTACCCTGTCTTTCCAGATCCTCTTCATCTTTCACATTTTCTTTACCCCCCTCCTTTTACCGACCAGATTGTATGACCCTGTGATATCCCCCCCATCTGCCCACCTTCACCTCTTTGTTCCCACCCCTTCACCGCTTAGGTCTTCATACACATTTTACTTGTTATCCTTCTGTTTTTACAATAATGACCATCTGCAGATTTATCCTTATGAAACTAAATTAATTCTTTCAGCATAATGTCATGGTATTTTCTCGAAGAGGGTTGTCCCTCTGTGTCTCAACATTAGTGAATGAGATAACAGACACATTTTCAAAAGGTTTTGAACATTACCCTATCTCATCTTGCATTTGCTGAGGGTTTTTAGAGCTACTTTTACTTTCTTTAAGCATCCTTAAATCTTCTCAAGGGAGCCCTGGAGGCCTCGCCTGTAGGGAGTGTGCACTAACCAGAAGGCACAGGCTCTCTGACTGTTTGAATGCACCTGTTCCCCCTGAGAATAAGATGGCAAATCGCTTTGCATGAAGTTTACAGCCATGGAGCCCAATGAAATGTCAGCTCTGACTTGTTTCTGACTCAAGGACAACAAGTTTGAGTTTTCTTGAGATCCTGCCCATTTGTGGAATATTTATAAGGGGTAAATATTCATCACATAATCTGCTTCTCCTCCATGTATATGTCACAGCAGTGCTAAACTGAGTGTGGAAAGGATATAATGTTGCCTTGCTAACTCTAACATACTTTATCTTGGACTTTTTACCTTAGAACTCATCAGATGAGGAAAACAATATTCCTACTTTGCACAATCTCATCCCTATCATTAATGACCAGTCTCAATACATTCAACACCTAGAGGCAGAAGTAAAATTCTGCAAGGTAAGTTTCTCATTAAAAGTGATTATTTATTAGTCATTGTATGAAAACAATTGCTGTTAATTTTATTTTCATAACAATGTATTGAGAGTTATCATCCTTAGCGCTGATTGCTTAGTGGTAAGGAATTATGCTGCCAGCTCACAGGTTTGCGGTTCAAATCCACCAGCTGCTCCGTGGGAGAAGATGGGTCCTTTCCTCTTGTATGATTTACTGCTTCTGAAAAGCCACTGGAGGAACAGCTACAGGTTGATTCCAACTTGATGACATACAACAGTAACAACAACATGTAATTAAAGAGAGTCCTTGGTGGTGTAAATCATTAAGCACTGGACTACCAACGCAAAAGTTGGTGGTCCACATCCACACAGAGGTGCCTCCACAGTAAGGCCTGGCTGTCTGCTTCCAAAGGGCGCAGCTTGCACAGCCCTATGGAACAGTCCTGCTGTTTTCCTGCATGGGGTCACCATGAGCTGTAATCAACTCCAGGGCAGCTAATAACAACGACAACCTATGATTTGAAGTACTGATGTGTTACACAAGCTTGGGGAAAGAACTCTTGATCCTGTCCTTCTGATAACCCAAGTTCTCAGGTGGCTCGATAACTCTGTATAATTCACAGGGTGCTTTTGGCTTTAGGAGTCTTTTTTCCTTTCCATGACATTTACATTAGCTTGTTGTTGTTGTTTTGTGACATCAGGTCAGAACTGATCCATACCTGAACTGCTAGCTGGTTTCAGAGGCAGTAAATCACACAGGAGGAGACTTCCCATCTTTCTCCTGCTGTAAATGGCAAAGGCTTGGAAATACTAAGACTGATTATTGTCCTGCGTCTGTCAGTGTACTGGCACTGGTGCAACAAGCAGAGGTTCTAAGCTGGTAAATTCAGTTTGTTCTGTTGTCAGTATGAAGTGCCTTATCTTGACCTTAAATAATTACTGTGGCTCACAGAGGACACCAACAATAAAGACCAGAAAACCAAATGGATCACCTGTAGTTTATAACATTGGATGGTTATTTTTTATTATATGCAGTTTAGTATGTCATGAATACCACTGGAGGCTTTCTGCCTTCCCAAAATGTATTAATGGGTTTTTTGCTTGTTTGTTTTTCCCTGTCTTTTCTTATTGTCAGTGTATCATCAGACTGTGATGTTATTTATATGGGCTATTGAGTATATTTTGGCTTTTGGTAAAGGTCAATATAGCATAAGAAACATTTATTATTGTCTTGATTTTACAAGAGTGTTCCTGATCTTAACTTGTCATTTTCTCTTTGTTTCGGGGGCCAGGGGAGTGGGTGGAAATCAGTAACCTGGAGTTGCTGTGATGCTGAATCTTACGCCATTGTGGTGTCAAATCCTGTAACAGTTACCCATGGTGGACAATGTTTGGTGGAGCTCCCAGTTAAGACAAGTTTGGAGGCAGGATTGGCATCCACATCCTAAACAACATGCCTCTGGAAACTCTATGAACTTTGAGAAATGACAAAGCTTATAGAAAGGCTTTGGCTCTTTTGTTCATAGGGTCGCAATGGGTTCTGCTCAACTCCATGACAATCATCAACAATAACAAGGAGAAAAGATTGAAATTTTCAATGATTTCATCTTGCTTGGATCATAATCAACACTCTTGGTACCTGCAGTCAGGAGATCAAGAGGCATAGTGCACTGGGAAAGTCTGTAGTCAGGAACCTCTCCAAAGTCCTGAAAAACAGTGATGTCAGTTTAAAGATGAAGATGAGCCTAATTCAAGCCACAGCCTGTCTGATCACAGGCTGTGCATCTGAGAGCTGGGCAGTAAATTGGGATGACAGAAGAAGAATTCATGTATTGAGTTGTGGTGGTAGAGAAGAGTGCTGAATATCCTATGGATGGCCGTAAGAACAAACAGATACATCTTGAAGAATGTGAAGTCAGAGTATTCTTTGTAGACATAGATAGTGAAGCTTCATTTTTTCGGACATGTTGTTAGGAGAGGCTATTCCTTGGAAAAGAACATCATGCTTGGAAAGGTGGAGGGTCAGCAAAGGAGAGGAAGACCCTCAATGGGATGGATTGATATCGTGTCTGATGCAATAGGCTCAAGTGTATGGAGTATGATATGGATACACAGGATACGAAAGAGTTCAGATCTGTTGCTTACAGATTTACTATGAGTCATACTTGATTGGACAGCACTTAACAACAGTGACATTCTTGGATTACCAGTGTAACTCATCTGATATCCTAGGAATCATTCCATTAATCTTCCTCTAAGATATTGTAGGCAAAAATTACCATCAGACTAGCAAATAGAATTAAGTTACCATCTAGTTAAGGAAAGAGTGCTACCACCTACACCCAGCAGTGCTGTAGAGACCTTCCCTGCGTGGTGCAAGCTTTAATTATGGTACGAGAAGAATGCTACCCAAAGTTAATAATATTAACTTTAATGTATTTATGGGAACACAAGATTTTGAACTAGTTTAAACGGAAATCATTTAGGCTGACAGAGGACAATGAAAGGTAAGAAGTGAAAGAAGGAAATGAAGAGAATAGTAACAATGAAAGGACACAGATTAAGGATGAATGTGCTTTTTTTGTGGGACCAGAAGCTGGTCTGTTTCCCTATGATGGAAAGTATACCTTAGAAATAAATTAAATAGAGCTGAACTGGTAAAGTGGAAGATTGTGGAAGCCTTGAAAGTCATTGTTTGTGGAAAAAATTTAACAAAAGAGTTGGGATTCAGAGGTCTAGAAAGACTTTTAATTATAGCTTTGTTTTTTTTCTGAATAAGTAATTTGTATGTATTACATAATGTTTATTACACTAATAATTAAGATTAAGCATTTTACTGTCAATTTATATCAGCATTTTGACATGTTTTCTTCAGAATGATTTGACCTAGATTAGAGATTGCATTGTTATTTAGCTGTACTTCCTCGTATTATATGGTGCAAGGCCAAGGAAACATGTTATCTCTAACTCTCAGAAGAACTCTATTATTCACAGCTACCTTTAGCTATCACGCCATTGTTGTTGTGTTGCTGATTGCTGTGGAGTCGAAGTCCACCCATAGTGACCTATGAACAAAAGACCTAATGCCTTTCCATAGCTATCAACCAGGCCATAGATGAGCTTTTTAATTTATCATCCTTTCTATCCCAGAGTGCTCTACTTTTAAAATCTGTGTTGATTTTTAGTAGGTTGCTGGCATTTGATCATGGATGATAATATATCTTAATTATATATCTAAATATATCTTAATGTCTGTTTTATCCTGAAAAATCTTTTAGGTAAGCATGTTAATGAAAGCCTTTCTATAAACCTCAATCCCTTGGAGAAAATAAAATTGTCAGAAGCCACACACTATGAGATAAGGTCATCAGTACGTGCTGTACCACATAACCCACCTTGTCTGTGTGTGATAGCTAGTTTTGAATTGCCTTGTCTAAATACAGTTATGATATTTTGAAAAATAATACTAAGCTTCTCATGCTTTTTATTATTGTAAACCCCTTGATAATCAACAAAGAAAAGCAGTGCTTATGAATACTGGTCATGTTTAATGTTTGTTCTGTTTCTTACAGGAGGAACTCTCTGGAATGAAAAGCAGAATACAAGTAGTTGTTCTTGAAAATGACAGGCTCCAGCAAGAGTTGAAATCTCAAAGAGAAGAAACAGTGAGAGAACAAACACTTCAGGATGCATCTGTGAGCATTTCTTAAAGCTATAAATTGTTTATTAGTTTGCTTATTTGGCAGAGAGGTTGAGGCCAAAATTCATACCTAAAATAAAGTTTGTATAAATGTACACTGATGCTGGGAGAGTCTCAAATTGTAAAATAAGAAGGTACTTTACCTCTGTTAATGTTTGTTCTTTTTTTTGTTCCCATTGTACTCCCTCCCTCAATTTTCTTTAGGTTCTTAGCTGTTGGAAGCTTGGGAAAAGTACTATGCTGAGATTTATTGAGGCCTCAAAAATTAAAATTCACTGTGGTAGAATGTATCCTGAAATAAAATTATATGGAGCTATGCTTCATATCCACTCTCATTTCCTATCTGAGCTTCCCATTTATAGTTTTGGGGGTGGGTTGTTGTTTTTTTTCTTCCATATGAAAAAAGCCCCTTTGAAAGTAAGGAAATGTCTTACATAGGAAGAATGTGTGTTAAATCTAGAAGCTGCTGAAAATGTTACCTTAGGTTTCTGTTTTATTTCCCTAAATAAATCCAGCAAATAGAATTAGCAGCCTGGTATAGCAGAAAGAACATTGGCTGAAGGCCAGAAGATTAAAATACTAATTTTAGCTTCGTTCCTAGCAAGCTGACTTTTAGCAAGTAATTTTGGAGTATTCTGCAGCTTAACCTGATAGTTCTTTTTTAAAAAAATTTATTTTATTATTTTTTGTGCATGTACCGTCAAATTGTATCTGACTGATACAGGAGGACATTATCTCTCCTTCTCCAGCAAAGCATCTAGTGGATTCAAACCACTCACCTCAGGGATTGCAGTGCAGCTTCTTGGCACTAGGCAACCAGAGCCCCCTCAACCTGATAGTTCTTAAGGGTTTTGTTTGTTTGTTTTTTAGGAGTAGTTTGAGAAAATTGCCCTATATATTAGGAGTTATTATACTTTAACATAGAGGAACCTTCATTTAGGGTGTTCGCTCACTGTGCAGATTTCTGGGCTGTCTACCTTAAGAGTTTGATCCAGCTGTTGAGTTCTCAGAAGATGAGCTTGTTAACAAGTTTCCCAAAAGTGAATATTGATGGATGAAATTTTGAGGAGCAGTGGCTTGGATGGTTTCAGTAATTCTGTGCTGGGAAATTCTTGTGATGATACTTAAGCAGCACTTCAACTTATTATCTCCCAGTGATTTATCAGAGATACTGTTGCTTTAAAAACTGTTTTTCACTCTTGTGCTGCAGGAGGCAGTTAATCATAGCTTGTTCTGCTTTTTGAGACAAATTCAAGTTTCCATGAGGAAGTTTTGCTCCTTGTCTGTTGCAGCTTGGCAGTGGACTTTGGTGATTGTAACTTTGTCATTATGCCTTGATGCTTTCCCTAGATTCCCTGTTTTAATTTTGAAATGTTTTATAAGCTGATACATAGTTTCTCATTTGTATTCCTTGAGTTGTGTGTAAGATTTTGGCACTTAGAAGCAGCTGATGGTGCTAATTAAATTAACTCTGAATAGTAAAGTATGCTGACTGGTGCTTCTGTTTCTGCAGTTAAGTTTTGTATGTAATCAGCTATTTTTTGTTCAGTGTACACATGTGTTTCTGAAGATTTATATGGTCATTAATAGTAATGACTAAAATAATCCTAGTTGCTCATGATCTTTATGTAAATTTAAAGAGAAGCCATAAGGAAAATGCTTAGAAGCCAGCTTGGGGCAAGCCGTCGAGGCCCTCTGCCCGGGGCGGGCTGCCCTCGGCCCCCTGCCTGGGGCGAGCCGTCGCGGCCCTCTGCCCGGGGCGGGCTGCCCTCGGCCCCCTGCCTGGGGCGAGCCGTCGCAGCCCTCTGCCCGGGGCGGGCTGCCCTCGGCCCTCTGCCCGGGGCGAGCCATCGTGGCCTTCTGCCCGGGGCAGGCTGCGCTTGGCCCCCGGCTCGGGGCGAACCATCGTGGCCCTCAGGAGCAAGAAGGCAAGCAGCTGTAACCCAAGACCACCAGTAAGGTGATAAAGCATCCTCCCTTCCCCCCTTTATATCTGTGCCCCTGTTCAGCATGAAGAAGCCAGAGAGTCGGCATCCAGTTCCCAATTCAGTAAGTCAGTTGGTTTAATTACTATTGGAAAATGCTTGTCATTCCTCTGTAGCATCTGGTCCCCACTGGACCCTCATCATTTCCTTCACCTGCTCCCCCCACCGACCAAACTGTGCAGCTCTGCAACTGCATCCCACCCATCCTCACCCTTCTGCCCCCAACCCCCACCTCCTTGTACCCCCAATATGTTTTTCCCAATAAAAAAAATATTAAATTAAAAAAAAAGAAAATGCTTACAAGCAACTATATTTAAGTTTATCCTTTTGCTTTCCTCCCAACTATGTAGTCAGTAAGCAAGCATTCCCTCAATTATTCATAGTCCTCAGTGTTTATACAGTGGCCAAGAAATGGAAGAAGGGGAAGTGAAATGTAAAAGGAAGTTGGTCAGACAAGTGAATCAGACAAGAGAAGTGAGCACTAATGTGGAAAGGGAAGGAAATAGTGGGAAAAGCACACATGCCTTACAGTTGAACAAGGGAAGATCTGCCAAGAAAAGCACAGCCAGAATTCTAGAAAGGACAAGGCTTTAAAGGGTCGAGTCTTTATGTTTTATTTTAGCATACACATGAAAATGAATATAATTAAATTATTGTTGCAGCTCTACCACTCAGTTTGATCTCCTTTTTAAAATGTATTTTCATCTCAGCAAAAGTATCCACTTCCTCAATAACATGCCTTCAGAAAACCTATGGACTTTGTTAAATATCTGTAGTTGTAGAGGAGCTTCAGGCCTTTTGTTTGTAGGGTCGCTATGAGTCGTGCTCGACTAGAAGGCAATCAACAACAGCAACAGCAAAAGTATACACAATCAAAGATACACCACCTCAGTGATTTCTCTTTATATAATTGAATGATGTAGATTGCATCTTTCATGGTCTGCTACTACTCTTGTCTCCCTTTTCCAAATTATTCTGCTGTTGCTATCTCAAACTCTCTGTCCCCTAACATTCTTATACAACCTTTTGAGTCCATTGCCAATTTAGCTTGTTCTTGTTGTTGTTGTTATGTGCCATTGAGTAGCTTCCTACACATAGTGACCCTATGTACAACAGCCCTGAACCCAGCTCTATCCTGTGCTAACTTTATTGTCTCTGACACACCTACCCTCATTGCCCCAGTAACGAAGCAATCAATTTCATCCAGAGTCTTTTCTCTCTTGTGCTGTCCCTTCACTCTTTCAAGCATGATGTCTCTCTCCAAGGACTGGTCCCTCCTTGCAACATGCCCAGAGTATGTCAGACAAAATATCAGAATCTTTTCCTCCAAATAGCAGCCTGGTTTCTCCCTTTCTAGGATGAACCTGTTTGTTCTTCTACCAGTCCATGGTATATTCAATACTCTTCTCTAGTGCACAGCTCAAAGACATTAATTCTCTTTCTATCATCCCTAGCCATTGTCCTACTTTCTGACATATAACAAATAATTGTGAAGAGTATGGCCTGGATCAGGCACACCTAGTCTCCAGAGTGACATTGTTGCTCTTCAGTTCTTTGGAGAGGTCTCTGACTGCAGACTCTCCCAATGCAACCCATCTTTTGGTTTCTTGGCTGCTGGTACTAAGAGTGTTGATTGTGGAGGCAAATCGGATCTGACTGGTACAGGAGGAGATTGCCCTTCCTTCTCCAGCAGAGCATCTGGTGGATTTGAACCATGTACCTCTGGGATTGCAGTGCAGCGTCTTCCCACTAGGCCACCCGAACTCCCCTAAATTTTATTTCTTATCCTCCCCACACCCCTATTTTGATCAGGATTCTTGTATAGAATCTGATACCTGGTTCTTGTCTATTTTTTTACATTTATTGTCCTGTCAGTGAAAGTTTATCTAGCAAACAAGTTTGGTCAAGTAAAACAGTCCATATACAAATTGTTCTGTGACATTGGTTGCAATTTCCACAGTGTGTTTCTTTCCATTTCTTTCCTAGTTCATTGTTTCTGTTTATTCTGTTTCCCATCCCTCCTGGTCTTTTCACCTTTGGTTTTGGGGTAATATTGCCATTCTTCTGCAGTTGATTGTCCTCAAGAGCACATTTTCCACATATGTTATTCATTTAATAGTTGTATCTATTAGGGAGCTCAAGTGGCCTGAAGTGTTTGCTGCAGAAGGTCAAGGACTGCAGTCTTCAATACATCAAGAAGAAAAAGATTCTCACCACTGGGCCAATTGGCAGCACCATGTTAGATGGAGAAGATATTGAGCTTGTTAACAATTTCCGCTTTCTCGGCTCCACAATCAACATTCGTGGCACCAGCAGTCAAGAAATTAAAAGACAAATTGAATTAGAGAAGTCTGTTGCCAGGGACCTCTCCGTAGTGTTAAAGAACAACAGTGTCAGTCTAGAGACAGGTGCGCCTGATTCAGGCCATAGTCTTCACAATTACTTGCTAAGCATCAGAGAGCTAGATGAGGACTAAAGATGACAGAGAAGAATTGATTCCTTTGAGCTGGGGACAACCCAGGAGAAGAAGATCCCGGATGAGGTGGATTGACAGTTACTGGGATAATGAGGGTAGATGTGTTGGAGATGGTGAGATTGGCTCAGCATAGGGTGAGGTTCAGAGCTATTGTACAAAAGGTCACTATGAATCGCAGGCAACTCAATGGCACATAAAACATAGTGGCCTAGTTCTGAGGAGCCATGCTACCAACCCAAAGGCAGGTGGTTTGGATCCACCGGCTACTCTTTGTGAGTAAAATGGACAATCTCTTTCCACATCAGTTATACACTGAAAAGCTACTAGAAGGCCAGCTATGAGTCAGTTCCAAACTGACAGCACATTAACAACAACATTTGCCTATTATTGGCCTGAAAGAATACTACTCTGGAGTTTCTTCAGTTTTCAATAAAAAAAGATAATCTCAGACAATTGTTCCAAGGATTTCCTCTAGTCTCTTCTGACCAGTGAGTCTGACCATGTTTTGGTGGTTATTTTGTTCTAACAATTCTA